ACGAATATTTGGAAACTTGTCATGATCTTAAATAACGATGAATAGTTTATTATTGTAAAAATGCTACTTTTGGAAAGTTTAATATTTATCCTGACAGTGATACAGCCGAAAATAAATCCACCAATCACCATTACATACAGCCTTCCTTCCTTTACCAAGTATTGCCAGGTATAATTGGGAGCACGAGACCCAGGGTGGGGTCGGTGCATCTTTGGCTGACTGTACCTACTGTACACACTTATTATGTTAAACCTTTGTTCTTAAATTGTATTCTTTTGTGATGTGTATAATACCAAACCTTCACTCCTGAACTGTTGTGATAAGGAGAGGACTGTGATTGAACCCACGACCAAGATGTGTGGAGTTGCCACTTTGTTTTTTGTTGTTGTGCTATAAGTGCCACCATTAGTGTATTAATCTTTAACATAATTGAAGTTAATAAGTTATGGCATAACACATCAAGCAGATGGAAAATAACAAAACCTCAGGGCCTGATGGAATCCCAGCCGAGGTGTATAAAGCAGGAGGATCTCTGATTACCAGCCGTCTCCACTCTCTCCTGGAGCACATATGGGAAAAGGAGGAAATCCCCCAAGCTCTTAAAGACGCCTCCATCATCAATATTTATAAGAACAAGGGAGACCTGTCAGACTGTGGCAACTACCGCAGGATCTCGCTGCTGTCCGTAGCTGGCAAGATTATCGCCTGAGTCCTCCTAATCAGACTTCTTGCTGAGGCGGAAAATTTCCTCCCAGAATCTCAATGTGGCTTTGCCCCATCCCAATCCAAACGGGGGTTAAACAAGAGTGTGTACTGGCACCAACTCTTTTCCATCTTCTTGGCTGCCTTCATTACCCGTGCCAATTTAGCCGACGGGCTGGACATCGAGTACCCGATGAAGGGTCTTTTCAACATAAGACGACTCGAGGCATGAACAAAGGTGTTGGCAACTTCCATTACTTTGCTTCAGTATGCAGACGACCTCACCCTTGCCGCTCACACTGAACACAACCTACAGGGGATCCTGAACTCCTATACTGATGCGTATGCATTCTTCGGCCTTAAGGTGAATGTATATAAGACTCAGATTCTCTTTCAACCTGCCCCTGGTTCAGACACACCTCCACCATCCATCTATCTTAACAGTACTACCCTCTCTAATGTTACCCGCTTTCTGTATCTCGGCTCCCACCTGTCCACCACCGCGGACATCGATGAAGAGATTCAACATCGGATCAGATGTGCATCTGAAGCCTTTGGTAGACTCTGAAACCGTGTCTTCAGCTGTAGGGAACTGAAATTATCTACAAAGTTACACGTATATCGAGCAGTGGTCCTTCCCACCCTGCTATATGGCAGTGAGACATGGGTCACATACAGGAGGCACCTCAAGGCACTTGAAAACTTTCACCAACGTAGTCTACGTTCCATCCTCCGAGTTCGCTGGGAAGACAAGAGAACAAATGACAGTATTCTCGCTGACACCAACTGTAGGAGCATTGAAGCTACCATTATCCATGAACAACTACATTGGACTGGCCATGTTACCCACATGGACGAATGTAGACTGCCAAAGCAGCTACTTTACAGTCACCTAACGAATAGTAAACGTAACGCTGGCGGGCAACTGAAAAGGTATAATAATAGTCTTAAGACAAACCTGAAAAGTGCCACATCGACCCCCTCACCTGGGAGACGATTACTCCACACTGTAGTGCTTGGAGGAGCACCACACAAGAAGGTGTCATTTCATTCGAGTTAGCCCGATTGCATAACGAGGCAGACAAGAGCCAACGCTGGAAGCACGCTGCCGCCATCCCTCCCTCACTGGATGTAGCCCCCCCCCCCTGCCCACATGTGCAACATCTGTGATTGACCTTGCCGGTTCCGTATCGGCCTCTTAAGTCATATCAGAACTCACCAACGGTGACAACCTTAATAACTCGTATCATAGCTCGATGATCATCATACTCGATTCCGAGTGACAGGAAAATAGCAAAGTAGGGTGGTACATTACCTGGCAGTGTTACAGGTCACAGGTGGTGGTGCTGGACCTGGCAGTGTTAGAGGTCACTGGTGGTGGTACATTACCTGGCAGTGTTACAGGTCACAGGTGGTGGTGCTGGACCTGGCAGTGTTACAGGTCACTGGTGGTGGTACATTACCTGGCAGTGTTACAGGTCACAGGTGGTGGTCCATTACCTGGCAGTGTTGCAGGTCACTGGTAGTGGTGCTGGACCTGGCAGTGTTACAGGTCACAGGTGGTGGTACTGGGCCTGGCAGTGTTACAGGTCACTGGTGATGGTGCTGGACCTGGCAGTGTTACAGGTCACTGGTGGTGGTAGTTGACCTGGCAGTGTTACAGGTCACTGGTGGTGGTGCTGGACCTGGCAGTGTTACAGGTCACAGGTGGTGGTGCTGGACCTGGCAGTGTTACAGGTCAATGGAGGTGGTACATTACCTGGCAGTGTTACAGGTCACTGGTGGTGAGGTGCTGGACTGGCAGTGTTACAGGTCACTGGTGGTGGTACGTACTTGCCAGTGTTTTGGGTCACTGGTGGTGGTACATTACCTGGCAGTGTTACGGAACCACTGGTGGTGGTACATTACTTGCCAGTGTTACAGGTCACTGGTGGTGGTACGTACTGGCAGTGTTACAGGTCTGGTGATTGGTACATTACCTGAAGTGTTGCGGGTCACTGGTGGTGGTACATTACTTGCCGTTACAGGTCACTGGTGGTGGTACATTACTTGCCGTGTTACAGGTCACTGGTGGTGGTACATTACTTGCACCAGTGTTACAGATTACTGGTGGTACATTACTGAGTAGTGTTACAGGTCTGGTGGTGGTACGTACGCAGTGTTACAGGTCATGGTGGTGGTACGTACAGCAGTGTTACAGGTCACTGGTGGTGGTACATTACTTGCCAGTGTTACAGGTCGCTGGGGTGGTGCATTACCTGGCGGTCGTGCAGGTCACTGGTGGTGGGACATTGCTTGGCAGTGTTACAGGTCACTGGTGGTGGTACATTACCTGGCAGTGTTACAGGTCACTGGTGGTGGTACATTACCTGGCAGTGTTACAGGTCACTGGTGGTGGTACATTACCTGGCACTGTTACAGGTCACTGGTGGTGGTACATTACCTGGCAGTGTTACAGGTCACAGGTGGTGGTACATTACTTGCCAGTGTTACAGGTCACTGGTGGTGGTACATTACCTGGCAGTGTTACAGGTCACTGGTGGTTACAGGTCACTGGTGGTGGTACATTACCTGGCAGTGTTACAGGTCACTGGTGGTGGTACATTACCTGGCAGTGTTACAGGTCACTGGTGGTGGTACATTACCTGGCAGTGTTACAGGTCACTGGGGGTGGTACATTACCTGGCACTGTTACAGGTCACTGGTGGTGGTACATTACCTGGCAGTGTTACAGGTCACTGGTGGTGGTACATTACCTGGCAGTGTTACAGGTCACTGGTGGTGGTACATTACCTGGCAGTGTTACAGGTCACTGGTGGTGGTACATTACCTGGCAGTGTTACAGGTCACTGGTGGTGGTACATTACCTGGCAGTGTTACAGGTCACTGGTGGTGGTGGTACATTACCTAGCAGTGTTACTGGAGGTGGTGGTCCATTACATGGCAGTGTTACAGGTCACTGAGGTGGTGGTGCTGGACCTGGCAGTGTTACAGGTCACCTGAGTGGTGCTGGACCTGGCAGTGTACAGGTCACTGGTGGTGGTGCTGGACCTGACAGTGTTACAGGTCACCTGGTGTGGTGATATTACCAGCAGTGTTACAGGTCACAGGTGGTGGTACATTACCTGGCAGTGGTACTGGTCACTGGTGGTGGTACATTACCTGGCAGTGTTACAGGTCACTGGTGGTGGTACATTACCTGGTAGTGTTACAGGTCACTGGTGGTGGTACATTACCTGGCAGTGTTACAGGTCACTGGTGGTGGTACATTACCCGGCAGTGTTACATGTCACAGGTGGTGGTGCTGGACCTGGCAGTGTTACAGGTCACTGGTGCTGGACCTGGCAGTGTTGCAGGTCATTGGTGGTGGTGCTGGACCTGGTAGTGTTACAGGTCTGGTGCTGGACCTGGCAGTGTTACAGGTCACTGGTGCTGGACCTGGCAGTGTTGGTCACTTGTGCTGGACCTGGCAGTGTTACAGGTCACTGGTGATGGTGCTGGACCTGGCAGTGTTATAGGTCACTGGTGGTGGACCTGGCAGGTGTTACAGGTCGTGGTGGTCGGTGCTGGACCTACCCAACAGTCTGCAGGTCATTGGTGGTGGTGCTGGACACAAGCAGTGTTACAGGTCACTGGTGATGGTCGCTGGACCTGGCAGTGGTACAGGTCACTGGTGGTGGTGCTGGACCTGCTTGATGTTACAGGTCACTGGTGCTGAGACCTGGCAGTGTTGCAGGTCATTGGTGGTGGTATTGGACCTGGCAGTTTTACAGGTCGTGGTGGTGGTGCTGGACCTGGCAGTGTTACAGGTCATTGGTGGTGGTACATTACCTGGCAGTGTTACAGGTCACTGGTGGTGGTACATTACCTGGTAGTGTTACAGGTCACTGGGGGTGGTACATTACCTGGCAGTGTTACAGGTCACTGGTGGTGGTACATTACCTGGCAGTGTTACAGGTCACAGGTGGTGGTCCATTACCTGGCAGTGTTGCAGGTCACTGGTAGTGGTGCTGGACCTGGCAGTGTTACAGGTCACAGGTGGTGGTACTGGGCCTGGCAGTGTTACAGGTCACTGGTGATGGTGCTGGACCTGGCAGTGTTACAGGTCACTGGTGGTGGTAGTTGACCTGGCAGTGTTACAGGTCACTGGTGGTGGTGCTGGACCTGGCAGTGTTACAGGTCACAGGTGGTGGTGCTGGACCTGGCAGTGTTACAGGTCAATGGAGGTGGTGGTGATGTTCGTGATGCTGTACCTGGTAGGGAGAAATAGGTCATCTCCTCATCTGGTAATGTTACAGGTCGCCGCTGGTGGTGCTGGACCTGGGAAGTGCCGTGGCAGGGGTGACGTGGTCTCCGTATAGCAGCAGCGTGTTCGTGGCTGTGACGGACGAGGGACGTGTTCATGTGTACGACCTCTTCCTACGCAAGTGCCGACCCCTGTGTGTGCAGAGTCTGGTGCAGCGGCGGCGTGTGGCTGCCACCTGTGTCGCCTTCAACCCCTTCCACCCCATCATCTTGGTCGGCGGTGAAAAGTAAGTGTAATCCCATCATACTGAAGTGTTCCCATCATACTGGAGTGTTCCCATCATACTGGAGTGTTCCCATCATACTGGTGTGTTCTCATCATACTGGAGTGTTCCCATCATACTGGAGTGTTCCCATCATACTGGAGTGTTCATATCCTGCTGGTGTGTTCTCATCATACTGGAGTGTTCCCATCATACTGGAGTGTTCCTGTCATACTGAGTGTTCCTGTCATACTGAGTGTTCCTATCCTGCTGGTGTTTTCCCATCATACTGGAGTGTTCTCATCATACTGGAGTGTTCTCATCATACTGGAGTGTTCCCATCATACTGGTGTGTTCCCATCATACTGGAGTGTTCCCATCATACTGGAGTGTTCCCATCATACTGGAGTGTTCATATCCTGCTGGTGTGTTCTCATCATACTGGAGTGTTCCCATCATACTGGAGTGTTCCCATCATACTGGAGTGTTCCCATCATACTGGAGTGTTCCTGTCATACTGAGTGTTCCCATCATACTGGAGTGTTCCTGTCATACTGAGTGTTCCTATCCTGCTGGTGTTTTCCCATCATACTGGAGTGTTCCCATCATACTGGAGTGTTCCCATCATACTGGAGTGTTCTCATCATACTGGAGTGTGTCCATGCTCTGGCACATACTTATAGTACTGACCAAATAGTGCATCTTAGCAGCCTCGTCCTTAACTGAATTTATTTATTTTTTTTAATATTCCTCAGTTTTCTAAGATGGTTAAATAAGTCTCTTCCTCTGTTTATTCTTACTATGTAAACAACATTTTCCATCTCTTTAAATCTCTTTTGCCTAACTTGATTTATTTCTAATTTGGAAACAGGCATAACCTCCTCCTTTAAGTCTTGGCTCATATCTTTCGTCTCCTATCCACGAATTTCTTCACCAGCATTTGTCTAGTTCCTTTACTCAATATAATAAGAACAATATCATCTGGACACCGAATACTAACTTATTCTTTCACTGATATTTACCTTTCTCAGTATTTTTTATTGATAATATAATAATGTAGGAGATAGAATACAGCCTTGTCTAACTTTCTTTTAAACCTTGAACCAATTAGGAAGTTCGGCACTAACACTACAGGTTCTTGAAACCTGTCGGAAATGTGACTCGCTTCCCTTGAAACCCGTATTCATAAACTTTGAACCACAATTGTGCCGAGATCTTTCCCTTTTCTTGGTTCAAAGGTTTGTGCCTGGAAATCTTCCCCCTTGCGGGACTTTATTTTCCACAATAATAATACTGCACGCTTGGTCCCTGATTCACGAGTGTAGGGAAGTGAACTAATGTCTTGTATGCTGCAAGGTCTTCGTTGTTCTCTTGGGCCAAGGCGAGCTGTCTGTAATCCATGGGTGGAGATGAGGGAAGAATGCTGGATATACAACGAGAGAGGGTGTCAGCGATTTCGTTGTGGCTGCCTTTTATGTGTTGGATGTCGCTGGTGAACTCCGAGATGTAAGCCAAGTGGCGAAGGACACGAGGTGTATGTGACTGGGAGGCTGAAGCGAAGGCGTGGACGAGGGGCTTGTGATCGGTGAAGATGGTGAACTGACGGCCCTCGAGGAAGTGCTGGAAATGCTTAATAGCAAGGTATATGGCCAGGAGTTCTCGATCGAAGGCGCTGTACCTGAGGTGTGGTGATTGAAGCCGCTGTGAGAAGAAGGCAATGGGCGTGAGAATTCCGTTGATCTCCTGTTGTAAGACGGCGCCCCCGGCAGTAGAAGAAGCGTCTGTTGTGAGAGTTGTCCGGGCGTTAGGTGCAGGTTGAGCTAGGAGGGTAAAGCGTGTGACGTGCTGCTTGATAGTGATGAATGCCGTAACAGCCTCTTGAGTCCAAATGAGAGGCTTGTGAGACGTCTTGGGGAGTCCCTTGAGAAGATCGTAGAGGGGGACTAGGACGGTAGCAGCGTGGGCAATGAAGCGGTGGTAGTAACTGACTAAACCCAGGAATTCTTGGAGTTTCTTCGCAGTTTCAGGTTTGGGGGAACTCCTTAATGGCAGTTACCTTTTGTGGTAGGGGTTGGATGCCGCTCGGCGAGACTCTGTGACCGAGGAAGTCGATGGAGGAGGCTCCAAAGACGCACTTGGCAGGGTGAACTTTCATGTTGTTGTTCTGCAGGCGTTGGAGAAGGAGCTGGAGGTGGTGATGATGCTCAGCAGGCGTCGGAGATGCGACGAGAATGTCGTCTATGTAGACAGTGACAAAATCGAGGTCGCAAAGCATGTGGTCCACGTACCTCTGGAAGGTCTGGGCTGCATTGCGTAGCCCAAAACTCATGAAGGCATACTCGAAGAGACCGAACGGAGTGGTGAGGGCTGTCTTCTGGGTATCTGCAGGTGCTACTGGAATCTGGTGGAAGGCACGCTCTAAGTCGATCTTCGAGAAGATGGTCTTGCCATGGAGTTTGTGGTGGAAGTCCTGGACATGCGGGATAGGGTACCTGTCAGGTTTGGTGACGAGGTTCAGAGATCTGTAGTCACCATATACCCTCCAGTCGTTGGATGATGGCTTTGGAACCATGTGAAGAGGCGATGCCTAGGGACTCTTTGAAGGTCGAATGATGCCGTCTTGCAGGAGTCTGTTGAATTCCGCCTTGGCTATGTTCAGGAGCTCAGGGCGAAGGCGGCGAGGGCGTGAGAAGACTGGAGGTCCTTTAGTTTCGATGTGGTGGAAAATTCCTGACGTAGGTGGTGGTGGAGAGACTCGGGGGTGAGAAAAGTTCCTTGAACTTCTCGAGCAGGGGGGAGAACTCGTTGGACGGCGAGAGGCAGGTGATAGTGTCGGTGTCTGCGGCACGTGTACCCCGGATCGTGCGTGCTGTAGGCTCATGGATGAGGCAGAGATGGCTTGGGTCGACGCCGAGCTTGTGGAAGGTGAGGAAGTCGAAGCCAAGGATGGGTTGAGAGAAGTCTGCGACCACGATTGACCAGCGCAGAGTCTTGGGAAGACCGAGGTCTAAGGAGAGGATGTGTGCACTGTAGGAGGCGATGGGGGTACTGTTGGCAGCGAACAAGTCGTAAGAGGGTTGCTTTGATGTGTCTGGCGGTGATGGAGGGATGATGCTGACCGATGAACCTGTGTCGACAAGAAATTTCCTGCCGGAGATGCGGTCGATGATGTGCAGCAGTGAGACGCCTGAAGTGACGAAGGCTGTGGTGTCTACCAATCCCCGTTGATGCCGTTTCCCGAGTAGTTGCAGGGGGGGCTCGTAATGCCTAGCATTGGCACCGAAGCGTCGGTGGTACCAGCAGAGGAAAGGTCCGCTGTGCTGAGAGCTGGCGGCGGTTTCCGGGGCAGGACGAAGACGTCGGGGTTTGTAGGACGCGGTGCGTGGGGCAGGAACAGGCCCAGCAGCAGGCGTGGAGGAGCAGAGCTGCTCAATAGTGTCCATCCTGCGGTCCTGTTGGGTGAGGAGCTGATTGGTGAGGAGCTTGTTTGGAGGTCTTGCTGGTTCAGGAGAGTAGAGTAGAATGAATTCCGATACGATCGGATGGGATTGAGAGAAGAGAGCCTATTGGCTCAGGAAGGTGGAAGACGGTGCAGGAGGAAGGTAAAGGTTGGGAAGTGGGAAATGAAGAGGGAGATTGATAGCAGGTGGGCTGTCCACCTTGCGGGGACGAGGTTAAGTCTGCCATGCCAACAGTGAATGTCCACTACAGCAAGGGAAGGGAGGCCAAGCTAATCTAAGCTAAGGTTGATTGTGATGTTTGGGGAGGGGGGCTCTCCATGTTCTTTGAGTCTCTTGGTTTTCATTTCGTGTATATTGGTTCTGGTTCTGTGTTGTCAAATGTTATGCTCTTTGGCCACCAATTGTGTGTTCAGGTAATGTCTTCTTGCATTAATTGTTGGAATATGGGGTCTTCTAGTTCCTGTAGCTTTTCCCATATTGCTAATGCTTGATTATGTGTTCTGATGTTGATTATGGTTTGGTTATGTTCTGTGTGTAGCTCTCTGGATTTTTTTGTCTATGGTGGTCTGAGTTTTGCTGCTCTTCTGAGGTCTACGTTTTGAACTGCTTGTATTTTGAGTTTATTTGATTTTGTTATAGTGTTGAGTGGAATTGGGGAATATTCCAGGTGTGGTCTGACTAGTGCTTTGTAAATGTGTAGTTGTGTATTGGTGTTTAATTTGCTGAAACTTCTGAGTTTAGTTAGTTGTACCTTGGCTTTTGCAATTCTTTCTGTGATATGTGGTAGTATGCCGTTCCTTGTGATTTTGAGGCCGAGGATTTTCCCATTTTCTGTGTATGGAATGTTTTGATTGTTGACCATGATTGGGTAAGGTCTGGTTTTAGCTATATGAATTATCTTCAGTTTTTGTGTGTTAGTTTTAATTTTCCATTTCCTTTCGTAATTGTTTATGGTTTCTATTTCTCTGCTAGTTCTGATTGACATCATTTGTTTGGATTTCCCTGGGTATTGTATAATTTGTGTTACGTCGTCTGCGTATGCAATGTACTCTGAGTTTCTTGGTTTGGGCATGTCCGCTGTATATATGGTGTACAGTGTTGGTGATATGTTGCTGCCTTGGGGTACTCCACTCTAGAGGGTGAAGTTTTGACCTATGTAGTTGTCGATGGTCAGTTTGCATTGTCTTTTGTCCAGGAAATTGCAGAGGAGAGCCGTGATGTTGTGTGGCATGTTGAGTTGGATGATCTTGTATTTGAGTCCTTCATGCCATATTTTGTCGAAGGCTTTGCTGACATCTCTGAGTACTATGTTACATTGGTTTCTGTTGCTGGCTGCATTTGCGATGGATTCATATACTAAGGCGATTGCAGTGTTGGTGCCTCGGTTTTTCCTAAAGCCGTGTTGTCTCTGGTAGGTATTTATCTTCATACTCTAGGTTGTTTCTTAGTCTCTGGTTTATTATTTTTCAAGGATTTTGCCAGGTGTTTCAAGGAGTGATATGGGTCTGTAGTTTTCTGCTTGTGTTGGGTTCTTTCCTTGTTTTGGAATGAGTCTTATTTATGCCATTTTAAATTTGGATGGGAATAATCCTCTTACTATTGAAGCATTGAAGATGTCTGTAAGCTGTTTGATCATTGCTGGTGGTTTGTTTTGCAGCACGGTTTTGTTTATTTGACTTATTCCGGGCGATTTATTCTTGAAGCTGGCAATGGTTTTTGTGATGTCACGTGTAGTTATTGGAGCATTTAGTGGGTCGTTATTGTCTAACGTGTTGAGGTTGATTGTCCTGGATTGTTGCCATGTGTCTGTGTTTTGGTTCAAGTGTGTTTCAACCACGTGTTCTGTTTCTCTGCAGAAGTTTCGGTTGTCCTCATCCGTGATTTGGTAGATGCTGCTCCAGAATGTTCTGAATATTGGTTCCTTGAGTTTAGGTTCTGTAATCTTCTTGCCATTGTTGTCTATAAGGTAGCTGCTCTCCTCTGAGTTGGTTCCCATGAGATTTTTTATTTTAGTCCAAAAGGCTTTTGGGTTTCTGTAGTCTGCCTGTGTGTGTTGGCTATTAGTGCTTTAAAGTCATGGTGTATTCTGGGCAAATGTTGTGAAGCATGTCTACGGGTATTGGTGGAGGAATGCACCCATGACTCGTGTACCCAGAAGTAGAGTAATGGAAATAAGTGGAAAAGCCGCCTACCTGATGAGTTCATGGGTGATTTTCTTGGTTAAAATTGAACTCTGGAGTTTGCTGTGGGTGCACGCCACTGGGCAGGTTAGTAGTTAGTCTTTGGGCTCTGTGTATAATGATAGTTCGAATTAATATTACTTTGTGGGTCATTCCAAACATGCTATGATTGATCCATGTTCTCGTGTAGTATAACTAAATTAGGATTGATATTCCTCAGAGATTACTTTTATTTTGTCTGATGCAATTAATGTATTTTTGATGGTACGAGTAATATCTTGTTAATATTTTGTTGTGCTACTAACAGTGGTGTATGGTGATGTAGGATGTATTGATGGATTAATCCAGATCAATTATTTTTTCTCGTTTGATTAATATCTTTGTTGTACTAATTTTCTATGGTATAATTAATATCTTTCTTAGCGTTGCAAGGGGGTGTTATCTATGTAATACAAGTGTTATCATTGCCAGTGTGTCTCTTTATCCCCAATATCAGGAACACCAGTCCAGGTCACAGTAAATAATTTATTCATTTGTTTGTGCTGGTTTGGTATTCTGAGGGGCCCTTCCACTGCATTACCATCCATTTAACTAAAAACCCCAAGAGGAATATTCTCGGAAGTGCTCTCAAACCTAGAAAAAAACTCCCTCGTCCCCGTAATTTTCTGGGTATCGGGAAAATTTTCTTGGAATTTTCCAGAAAATGCGTCCCTCAGAAAATCGTTCCCAGAGCCAGAATTTTCCGGGAAATTCCGGCTCTGGAAATGATTTTCCGAATAAATTTCAATTCCGGCTATTGGAGATATTACTTATTTATATAGAGTCCGTTTTAGGCTGAGATGAACTTCTAATATTCTCCTTAGGTAGTTTTTAAGTATACAGTATAATCTTAATAATGTGCCTTATAGAATAATGTGCCTCATTTTAAGTGAAATTTTATTATCTTACAGAGGCCACTTGATAGCCCTGAAGCTCTCACCTAACCTCAGGAAACCACATAAAGATGCTAAAGGGGCCGATGCACAGCAGCTACAAGAAATAGAACTGTGCAAGATGGAGCGTCTTATAGCCACCGCCAACAAGGGTTAAATTAAGTGGTCATATTAAGTTGTTGTGTTCTTAAACCTGCTTGGTGGCGTGCAACTTCCGGTGAGAGTGGGTTAGCTTATGCTCCGCACGTACAGTTGCACCTAAGGAAGATATATATATATATAGAGGAACTTTCTACATTCAATAAATGTTCAGCCCCTGACTCCTGTGCCGTCTCTCGAGAAGCTCCCTTTTTCATAGGAAACTTACATGGTGATTTACGAGAACCGATTTAATTTTATCCCCCCTTTTTTTCAACTATTTGCAGCATTAAGCTCCCTCATTATAAAAAAGGTATAGTAGTCTAGAAAACGACCTGGTCCTTAGTGATAACTCTTGTTATAAGCTACGATTTGAATATACAGGAGTGTATTTTTGCCCTACTCCTACAGATTATTTATTCATGAATAACGATGTTCCTTAAAATAGAAAAAAGAAACAACACCATGTTGTACGTGCAATAACATAAATGAGGTGTTAGATAAATATATGTAAAGAAAACATCAAAAGCAAGCTGGCATGTTGACCCTTGATGGTTTTTGCAAAACTCCAAATCTGCGTGATACATGGACTAAAAATGAAATATATATATATATCAGCAGTACACAACAAAACCGAATGATTTGTTTATCAGTGTTCCATTGTCGACCACTACGGAGCGTCAGTTCAAGGTTACACAGGTAAATAACCAATTGGAATGGAGAAGATATTTTAGTGTTCAGGCACACAAACGTGATAGTCTCTTCCTGGTCATGTTGCGTCTCTAACTAATATAAGTAATTCTTTCCTTTAGCCCTGCACTGTTATTTGCATTCTTTGTGAAAAAAATTTATTAACAAATTTTGTTATTCACACCATGCATTCATTCGAGCATCGCGATACTTTTGTCTACCTTTAAGAAAGAAATGAATTGTCAGGTTTCTGTTATTCCTGCGTTTTCCACACACACACACCCGTGATCATGTTGTTCTGGAGCCATCATTGTATCTGCCACCACCACAAGGACCCATCCTTTACGCGACGTCACGAACGTAAACAAACAGATGGTGACACCTGCAGGGGAGCTTGTTCATTACTAAGGGTCAATTAGGAGTCTCTACAAGTAGTAGTTCCTCTCTGTATCTTCCTTGGTTCCACCTGTATCCCGGCGGCCATATTAATCCAGACGTTGACGAAGGGAAGCATCAATCACGAGACACAATAGGCACACACCTCAATAATGAAGTCACGGTGCCATAATGAGAGAAAGAGTATAGCTTCAATAAGACATCTACTGAATGTGTCTACGGAATACTTATTCAGTGTTGGTGAAATTACGAGAAATATGCAAACTCAAATGAGAGGCAGTCAAGGCGGTTCTAAAATATTGTTATTTACATGCAGTACTTGTAAACACACACTGGAGGACTATAAAGTATTTTCATTTATACATACAGACTACCTAAACACTGTCTATATTGTCATCATCCAATACGGTGGAAACGCTTGGAAATGATTATTTTAAGTGTGTAGTGTCCAGATAATTATAAACCATCAAGAGCATGCCATATGCAACATTCGTCTAAGGTCATTGTAGACAGCATTTGCATCAAACGCAAACTGTTACCTGTGTACAAAATGAGACAACGGAGGTTTACAAACTTTAGGACAGGACTCCTGACCCAGATCTGTTGGATTTACCGGCAGTGATCTCTGGAAGACCATTACGTTTGTCTTCTTTTTTCTTTTTTTTTACACAAATTACTTAGTTATTTCATCAAGTTATGGAATATCATTGTATAGTTATATATTGTAAAAACTATATTTGAATAAAGTTTTTAAACTTATAGGTAATTTCATTTTCAATGTAGAATGTATCAAAAGTTTATACGTAATAGAACAACACCACAACTTAAAAACATCATCCGTAAATAATATGTTACGGATAGCGGAATGTTCTGTCTCCTTCAGTAATCTCTGATGTGGCTTGGTGATATATACAGTTTTAACTAAGGTAAGTTCTAATATAGGTTGAGTCTTTTATTGGGAAATATTTGATGAGTATATTATATAGGGAAATTGAGGGTCAGCATCAGTCCTGCCAATCACCAATATAAAACTTATTCACAGCCAGGTTGGTCAACTGATGGGGGATGTCAACTATAAGACGCAAATGTTATGACTCGCATTAAAACGTTGACAAATACACCTTTTCACATATCCATTGAGACATTGTTACATAACTATTTGACAAATTTCATAACCGAATGACAGAACACTTATCGAATGACAATCTAAAATAACTGTTGGTTCATGCTAACGGAAGTGATTGACATAAGTTATGAAGTTGACAGACGTGAACAATAAACCGACTGTCTACATATAGTTTGAGAATGTAACAATTCGAGAATGACATACCACTGTAGGGTTTTCGTGATATAATGTTGTCTAGCACTCAGGATGGATGGAAACTCTAAGGTGGTTTTCTTATATAATATAAGTTATATGATAGACAGTCTGGTGCTGGAGGTGCCGTGTGGTGAGGAGCTGCTCAGTAGACACGTTCGGTGAGTAGCGTGTTGAAGGAGGTAGATGTGCAGGAGCTTCGTTAGAGAAGGTGTTGCCTGTTGCTGGCCTCCTGGTTGAATGAAAGCTGGACAGCGAGGAGCTTGCTGGAGTAGGTGTTGCTTGTTCAGGAAGATGGGCAGAATGAATCTCAATGGAGAGACAGAGCTTATATACCCAGCAGCCGTGAGTCACCTATGAGTCATGTTGGGAAAACCCGAGAAAGTCGCCGGTCTTTGGTTCCGTTGCTAGGATACGGTGGCATCTGGTGACGCCCCTCGCTTGTGCTGCTAGTTTGGTTGCTAGGGAAGATGGTAGCAGCTGGTGGCTGCGGCTACGCAGTTGTAGGGGAGAAGTCCACTACACCACCAACAGTTATTTTAGATTGTCATTCGATATGTGTTCTGTCATTCGGTTATGAAATTTGTCAAATAGTTATGTAACAATGTCTCAACGGATATGTGAAAAGGTGTATTGGTTGCTGTAATGATAAATTACATATGCAGTTCAAAACTATTTTACAAAAAGAAAAAAATATTGAAAAAGAATTCACTTCATAAATAAATACTCCATTTAAATTTTAGAGACACCAAGGAAGAAAACCAGAATGTGTTAATTATTATTTCAAACTTACCCTCGATATTGGTAACCAAATATGAAAGAAGAGCACATTTCATTCTAATCTAAAGGGATTTCTGCTGGCCGACTTTCTTTTCAAACCAACTAAATCGAAGTTCGACAGTTACCATAGCAGCCAACCTTACACTTTCCTCAACATTTTTAGTTTCTTATGTAAAGAATAAGGGATTTGTGAGATTATGGTAGTTTCACAATTGTTTTTATTATTGCAGAACTTGCAAGAGAGAGAGAGCAGGGAGGGGGAGGTGCCCAGCTGATGGGTTTGTGATGCCAAGTTCAGTATTAATGGAAAGATTATTTAATAACTTTTAAATAAAAAGTATAAATTAGTTTACTTAAACTTATTTACAGTATTAAAAGTGTAAAGTGTGTTTTGTTAATTTATCTACAACTTTACATTTGTAAAAATTTTTTGTTAAAGCTCTGATATTTATAGAATGACTTATGGGAATAATTGATCCAATTATCATCGTTTACCTTCATGTCACCAATGACTACAACCCCCTACCACACGTTATGACCAAGATGTTATTTCTACGAGTGGGTTCATTTACCCGTTTGGTCAGTGATATCCAAAAATACCTTCAGCTACCTTGATCCAGCTTTGTGTGTTAATAAATATTTTTCCCTGGCCTTCCTGAGTAAGTGGTATGAGCTTAGACTAATGTCAGCATCATTTAATGTGTTCTAGTCCCCGTCTGTTACCATTAATCCATCTTGTTATTTCTACCACTCGGCAATCAAGGTCGAGTTCTTTATTAACTAAACTTCGTACCTTAAGTAACACATATTAAAGATATTTCTTCCCCATTTCCCTATGAAGGTTCCAAGTGTTCCCTGAAGAAGGCAGTGATGGGTAGGGACACACCGGGTAACACTGAAGTCCATTTATTAACGGATAGGAGAGATACAAGTAGTGAGCCGCGTGTGCCATGCACGGCTCACAGAGTCAGACTAAGGCAGCATTGCCATATGGCAGCCTCGGGGCAATGGTGCCACATAACACATGCATTGTTGCCACGTAATTACATACATAGATGCTACTCGGCACAGTAGCTTACAGACATAACCTGCACCCTACACTTTACATAATCACGTCTATTTCTTTCTTTTTTCTGATAAAATAACGTATTTACACGTAGTCGTCTTTCAGCCAGCAATTGAACATTATTTCCTTGTCTTAATCATATATATATTCACTAACTCATTCCTGGTCTTCGGTTATTTTCTAAGTGTAAAATCCCTTTATCTTTGTTTTGTTTTATTTTTCACTTTTGTCAGGAAACACGTCTACAATTTTAGATATTTTCATTGTAATTAGTTTCTTTCTTCCTCACAACTTGTTTTACTACCAACAATCTATATTGGCCTCTATTGATTTTCCTGTTTTGTCCTAGAACCTTTTAATCACTATTACTGCAACACGTTTGACTGAAAGTATATACTTAATCATGTGATTATCTCTACCTATTAAGAGAGACAATGAGGTGATAAACTTCATCAGAACTACTGTATGTTTCATCACCATTCTAACTAAGGAAAAACAGTTTGAAACCATTAAAATGAAATTGTGTTCTCAAAATAGTGTATCGCATTGGTCACGTAGTCCTGCAAACGGTGGGCAGTCGGGTCAGTGGACCTGAGATACCTGATGTACGAGCTCAAGAAAACACATTTTCTTTTACAGCTATAAAGGACTGTAACAATGATCATATTAAACCCACAAATAGTATATACCAGTTCAAAGATAAAATATAAAATTCACAGCTGATGAAGGAAAAAGTCAGTTTTTACATCACTGTATATTCTGTTGTGGAAGTGATCCCTTAGTCTCAGGTAGTCTAAGTATATTGTTATGTTTGTTACATTTAACCACAAATATGCATAAATATTTTTTTTTTTAGATTAAGTGTTAATGATTAGTCCCAGCCTAACCAAAGAACCCATCCAGGTATATGCTGATAACCACAAGGAAAGAAGAAAACACGAAGTTCTCAAGCGCTTTCGTGTAATTCACATCTTCAGGGGCGAGTACAGGCTAAGGAGAAGTACATAACAAGGTATTAGGTAATGACCCTACTAATCTTCGAAAAGCACCGCAGCAGTCGGTAGTCAGGTCAGAGGGTAAGATGACCCAACCTTCTCACCTGGTTACAAATCTTCTCAATTACGAAATTATCCAGTTTGTACATACCATTACTCAAATTCATGTTGACGGATTCGGTATGTTTAATAAGACTAGATTCTATAATGTTCCTACTGTCAATTGAATTACAAGGTAATATTGAGGAAGCATTATCCCAGTCAATGCAATGCTTGTTATCCCTCAAATGAACAAACAGAGCATTGGATTCCTGGCCTGTCCTAACACTATATTTATGTTGTTTAAGTCTAGTTACAAGATCTTTACCTGTCTGGCCTAAGTTAAACATATTACATTCCTTGCAAGGAACCTTATAAATGCAGCCACTTGTATTGTTGGGGGAGTTCTTGATTAACATTTGTTTAACAGTACAAGAGTTTTTAAATGCCACATTGACGTTCCAGGTTTTTAGTTGTAAAGGAATTTGAGAGAAATTTTTGTGAAATGATAATACTAAGAAATTCTTATGGTCATGGGTGGGCTTGGGATCGATTCGATAGAAAGATTTCTTAGTAATGTTAAGGCATTTGTCTATGAAAGATCTAGGGTACTTAAGGTTCAAGCCAATATTATAGATTTATTTATATTCCTCATCAATGAATTCCGGGCTGCAAATTCTCAAAGCACGTAAAAACATTGATGAAAATACTGACTGTTTGACTCTATTATAGTGAGCAGAATATTAATGAATGTATGAACACACATTAGTTGGTTTCCTATAAACACTGAACTTAAAAGTGTTACCTATTCTGTGGATCAGACAGTCTAGGAATGCCAATTTACAGTCTTGCTCTAATTCCACAGTGAATTTGATCGAGGGGGCTAAGTTATTAAGTTGTGGCAGGAAAGCTTTTAGGTCCTCATTACATGGCCAGAGACATAATACATCATCAACATATCTAAACCAGACTGCTGAAGGTGGTAAAATATTACTTAATTGTTTCTTTTCAAATAATTCCATATATAGGTTGCTTAATATTGGTGAGAGTGGATTACCCATTGCCATACCAAATTTTTGAGCATAATATTCTCCAGCAGGTCAGGTAAAAAAACATGAGGCCCACTAATCATTTACCCTACATCCACCTCAAATGCTTTCAACGCATTTCTAACCCTTAGCCACTGACAAATAAAGTTATGTACATATCAGTTCTGGTGTCACACTAATTGTTTTAATAAAATTCTGGAACTTTTAAGTGGTATTATCTGTTTACTAAGTATCAGGTATATAAACAGATATAATCTGAGAGAATAAATTATGAATTATCTCCAGGGAAAAGTTGTGAATATCACTGAGATAACACTTCTGTTAAGAGTGAACATTCCTGTCTAGTGAGATGGAGTGAACTGCCACTCCCTGGGCATGAGAGAGCGAGCCGGTTGCTTGCTAAATCAGCTGACTCTTGCTCGACCTTTGAGAAAGATGCAAGCCAAGCGATCTACAATAGTGAATAACATGGTGAATAACTTGGTGTTATTCATTTGGATGAATATTTATAT